TATATATATAATTTTTATGGAAATGCTCTTAAGGCTCCAGCAGGTTCAGGTGACGATCGAAGATTCGAAGCACAACCGCCCCAGCCAGTTCGTCCGTTTTCCCATACCCACTACACCACTAAACTGCACGAGACGACCGCCTGAATTCTCCATCGTCTTCTTCACCCGCCGAAATCCTGCAAATCTCACCGGTCTTAATGAGCCGACGGCGGTTTCTCCTTATCCGAGCCGTCCTTTTTTTCTTCGTTCTCAACTCCGTCTCCCTCGCCCTTTACATCTTCGTCCACCCCAGGCACACCCCTTCTAGCGAAACCCTAACCCAAAAACTACGCCTTTCTACTCTCAAGCCCTGGCCCTACCTTCCCTCCTTCCTCCCATGGATTCCTAATACAAATCCTCCCCTTAGGTCATGCGAGGCTTACTTCGGCAACGGCTTCTCCCACAAAGTTAACGGCTTTGGCGAAGGCGGCAATGGCGGGTGGTTCCGGTGCTTCTATAGTGCGACGCTTAAGAGCTCCGTGTGCGAGGGAAGTCGCGTGCGAATGGATCCTAGGAAGATAATGATGTCAAAGGGAGGTGAGAGACTGGAGTTGGTGATGGGGAGAAGGGAAGAGGAAGAGTTGCCGAGCTTTGAGGACGGGGCGTTCGAGATCGAGGGAGATCGGCGCAAGAGAAGTCAGGGGGGAAGGGTTGTGGATGATGAATTTTTGGATCGCTATGTGCCACGGAATGGTATAGCGTTTCATGCAATGAGAGGATTGATGAAATCGATGAGGGTCGTTGGGCCTGGAGAACTCCAGTGCTCCCAGGTGATACTGCTGCTGCTGAAAACAATAGATTTGTCGTGCATTTAATAATTTTAGTATTCGTAGCTTCTTTTTGAGTAACAAGAACTGGAAATCGCTGTCCAAGTTTGCTTCTTTCTAATTTAAAACTTTTGGAGAAAAGAAACCCAGAACGAAACTTTAAGCAACAATTACGAAATTTGATTCGGGACAGCTAAAGTTTCGGTTTAAAGCAGTATTTTTAGTTTTTTAGCATGCCTAGTTGCAGGTTATGATAAACTCATTAGAGAGCCTTCTAGTAACTGATTGTCGAGAACATTTTCCCTGTATCTTATGTTGTTGTTGAATTTAAAGTTGCTAAGAAGAAGTTTTTACGTAGATCTTCTGAAGTAATCTGATAACTGCAAATTCTATGTGAGAGCTTGTGCTTAAGTTGTATTACTTTAACTTGGCATAATGCAAGCTTCCTATCAAATCTTTAGAGGCAACATCAACATCAATTTTTACAAGGTTAGAGGATAAGAGCTTATAATAATTGATAGCCAGAACTTTGCTCCCTTACCTGTTAAACTAAGGAAGGCTGAAGTTCATGCATTTTATTGCTTGGGTGCCATGTTTATTAGTTGAAAAACTCAAGGAAATCTGAAGTTCATAGCTTAGGACTCATAAATATAAGAGTATACTGTATGGTTGGTGTGTGTCATACTAAAACTTGATTACGGATAGAATTCAAATATCTTTTTGTGTTAATGCATTTTTTCTCTTTTTTCTTTTTTTGGGTACTATGTGATGATTTTGTTGCGTTGGCTAATTTGGTTTTAGTGGATTGAAGAGCCAACAATTTTGGTTACGCGTTTTGAGTATGCAAACCTTTTCCACACCGTTACAGATTGGTATAACGCTTATGTCTCAGCCAGAGTTACAAATTTGCCTAAGAGACCTCATTTGATATACGTTGATGGTCATTGCAAGGTATGATGCATGTTTTTTGTATTTTTTGTTCAATTGATGTTCATGGTATTTCAGTGGCTGAATAATTTTTTCTAAAGAAAAAAAATGGAAGTTATACATACATACCACCAAACTTCAATTTTTACATATATGCCACCTTACTTATGCATGAAAAGGTGTATCTCACTTTTTGAAAGTTAAAATGGTGATATTTTTTATGTGATATGGAAGATTTGGGTGGTGTTAATGTAAAAAGTAAAGTTTAGAAGTTAGATATGTAAATACATAGGAATTGGGTGTTATGTATGTAAATGCCCCAAAAAATAATATGCTTCTTTAATTGCTTGAATTCTATGCTGGATCACCATGGGAAATGACCTTGGATGAGATGCCATATCAAAACTTTACTGCATCTTACTTCATTAAAACTTCATTATTCCTTTTTCAACTGCTCATAGTTTTTTTTTTACCCTGAATTTCAAACCTTGTATCTCCACTTTAGAAGTAAAAAACAATACTGCTCAACCAAGTGGCTGGTGATTCATTTGCTCTGAGTCTATCTTATTAATCCCATCATATTTCAATTTTTTTTATTAAATTTTTTTAATTATGTGAATTTAAATAGAATGCTGTTGTTGTTTTAAATTTTATAATATAGGGCTTATTCTCCTTCCACTATCAGATTCCATGACATATTATGGTAAGTAGTCTTAACATGCCTTCTCCATCGGATGACATGATCTTGGATTAGATGCCCCCATCAAATTTTTGCTGTTTTTCATTGACCAAAAATATGATGTTAATTTCACTGATAATTAAGTGGCAAAGTCATGCAGAACAACACTTGGTCTTTTTCTTTTTTAAAGCTCTCATTCTATACTATTAATTACAATGCACACACACACACACACACACACAGATATATATATATATATATATATAATTTTCTTTAGAGAGCTTATATGTCTTTCTTATGATGTTCTATAGTAGCTCATGATAGAAGGTATGCTAGTAGTACATTTAGTTGATTTCTATGGATGGTCAAATAAACTATGTTATTTCTGCCACAGGACATAGGGACTTAGTGGCATGAGTCCCAGTCAAGTAAGACGGGTTAAAAGGAGCTGCTTATTTTAGAGTATCCATAAAATGTGGTTCTTTACTCAGTAGGGCACTGATTCGATGACAATTAAATAACTATGTTAGGTTAGGTATTTGAAGTGACCGATATTGGATCTTGCCTGGTGAGATGAACCAGAAGGGTTTGCTTGGTTTGGAGTGTCAGGATGGGTTGACCACTCCTTTACTTGGCAGAGCACAACCCATTAGAATAACAAAGAGGGGCTCTTGAGGATTGTGCCACGGCAATGATTATTCGGATTTATGATCCTTATAGCCACCTTAATCAGCTCGAATGTTCAACGTAACTTTAATGAAGTTTGGAAACTTAACATCAATAAGTAGACAAGATTGGGTTAAACAGAACACGTATAGGTCACAATCAGAATGGTTCAAAGACTTCTCTGGCACTCTCTGGAAAAATGTACAAAGCATGCTTAGTTGACCAATGAGGTAGTGGAACCTCTAGAGATTCAGCATAAGATCAATCAAACCTTTTTTCCATTCAAACAGGGAAGTTCACCTTTGTGTTAATGTGAGAGGTGCAATCATGGCATGACTAGGATTCTCTTATAATCATGTGCGAGAGTCCTATTGTCTGTAAGAGGCAATCTTGGATGTCGGACATTAATAACTTGTAAACTCATATAATTAAAATAATATTTCTGGGTTTCAACAATTCTATGTAGAGGATAAGGAGTTTAACTTTTAATTTCATTGGGAGAGCTACCCTAAATGTAATACATTAGCGCAAGCAGGATCGTCTACTCAGATCCTTACATCAAAATATATAGCTTTGAAGATGAACTTCCTTATTTTATCAAGAACTTCTTCCTGTCATAGATTCCCTCTTGACTTTTTCTTAGCTCTGCTCGGATTAACCAAATTAGGTTTTCTTAACCTCTTAATCATTCTAAACATCAATTCAGATGGCAAAGGAAGGCTTATTAGCTGTGTATTATCTCATTCCAAAAGCAACTTTACCAAGTCATTTTACTGCTTCTTGTCCACGTTGATTATTGTTATTGAAAATTTTTTTCTGATTAATGTATAAGCACTAAATATTCTGTAAAATTTTAGTTATACTTTTAAATTTATACAAAATAGTATTAGGTATTTGCTCATATAATGTTATGAAGGGGAGCCATTTTTGCTGTTATTAGTGTGGCTGAAATAATTAGTTATGCTTGCCTTGGGAATTTAAGCTGGCATCAGTCCAGCATGATTAAGATCAAATTATGAAACTTTTAATGAATTGATGTCAATAACACAATCAAATCACTTTTTATTCTTTTTCTCACTGTAGAAAACATAAAAAATGAAACTTTGCTGGAGCGGCCAACATCTTTGCTATTTATAACCTTGGTTTATATATTATTTTTTATATAGTATTTTGGGGACAATATTTGTATCGAAGTTTGTGTTCATTCCGCAATTATTGCCCCATACCAGATTTGGTCTTTAACGTGTTTCTATTTTCTATTCCAAAACTGCATATGAAGGACCTTAATAAGTTATCACTTTTTATCGTTCTTTTGGATAAAATAGCGGGTCCCCATGCTAATTGTTTTACTCCTCATGTTAGGATGTATTTAAACAATGAAAGGATGTAGAAGATCATCAAATATGATTTAGGACTATGGCTAATTTTTGTCATGATACTATATTGTAGTCAATATTTTTAAAAACGTGCCTTCACGAGCAAAGCGAAGCGAAGTGTGTGATGCTCGCTTCATTTTGCTGATGCGAGCTTCTAAGCGCTGAAGTTAATTTGCAGGTTTTTTTTTTTTCAATTTGAAGTTTTTAATTATTGTAACAAACTATTTGAAATTGTTCTAAAATTTAATTTATAGAATTACCCTCAATATTTATCTTCAAGTTATGTATTACCATATATTTTTTTCTATTTATATCAACATTTAAGTCATATTTTATATTTTATAATTATTAATGAATGCATTTATACATTAGTAAAATTAATATGAATCAGAGCCAAAATCAACGAACAAATTGCAAGAAATATGTACGAAAACCCAAATTAGTCCTAATTTGATTAATCTCCAAGCAAGCAAATAAGAAATCCAAACAACATGCTTGAGTGCATAAAATGTAAGCACCTACAATTCGAGAGATAGGCGATATCTCAAAAACGTAACCCTAATACTCTTAAGACTACAATCTCATCATAATCTTACCCTAAGCATATTTTTTTGGTTCTTTTTAAGGGAACTCGGAGTCGCTAGTTTGTCTAGTTATATAGCGTCGTATTATTCCCTTATTCGAATAAATCTCTCTCAGATCATACAGATGATTTGAAGATGAGTAAAAAAAAAGGATATACAACAAATAGACAAACAATTTAAAAAGAAACATGAAAGACTTATGTATGGGTAATCATCGTGTGATAGGTCAAAAGTATACGTCCGAACAAGATCAGATCAAAATATCTCGAAACATGGTATCCATGAAGGAAATCCTTACATAAACCACCCATAACCAGAGAACAAAAAAAAATATTTTTTTTTGGGTCGAGAACGCTCCAAAAGGAACGTATCCCTTTGATTAATTACATCTTCTGAGATACCCAAAAATACCCTCGATAAATGGAGTTTTGCGTATGTTACTGTGATAATCGGTAAATGAGTCACCAAAAGAATGATTATTTCAACCAGGTGCATCTGACCGCCTTGGGAGTCTATACCAAGCCGCATGGGAGAGGCTGAGTCCCTCAAATCCAAATGGACGGCGACATGCTGATGAGCGTGGTCCAGAGAAATAATCAAGTCGACTCAGCAGGGCTTTAAAGCTCACCGGGTCGTAAAGGCCGAGAGTGAATCACCGTATCCCAAACGTGTGACTTGCTTATCAGCAGTAGGGACCATCAAGAAGACAACAAAGTCGCAAAGGACGACATGGCCGAAAAGGGCTCAACAAAAGAAGGGTAGAGTGATCCTAATCTAGTAGAGATAGCCTATCAGGAATCCGTGAATTGTATCTTCCATGGAGACCTCGGTAGTACTAAGGTCAAAATAAAAAAACTCTAAGTCCTATGACCTATAAAGGTAGAGCGTACGGAGGTGGAACTTATACTTGTCAAATAAAGGGCGAAGATACCTCAGGAAGGAAGAGAAAAGAGAGGTCTAGTTGCAAATCTGAACACACTCTCAACAAATGACTTATTCCCCATCTTGGTCGGTGAAGCCTCTAACATTCTAATCGTGCTAAACCCAAGTATAAAACTTATGCTTGACCAATTGGGTTGAAGAAGCATGAAAACTTTTCCTCGGGTCATGCAAATATGTTGCAATTATTTACCATAATCTTAAGCATGGAGGCTTATGCGAATTGTTTTAAAATCGGCCCGAAGGCCATGCAAAAAAGTAAGTGCAAGTTTTAAAATATTGAAATATTTGAATCCTAAAGTTTTGATTAATCTTAATCTTTTATTATTAAGATTTTGTAAAAAAAATATAATTTTAGGGTTTTTAAAGAGCCTAAATTATACGCATTACCATAGATAAACCACACACAAAAAAAGGCAAAACTGTAAATGCAATGCATAACAAAAAAGAAGCAAGATAACAAGAAAATGTAGTGACCGGTGTCGTTGGGTCGACAACATATCCCTGGAGAGCTGGAAAAAGAACCGGACTTCGCATATACATGCTTGGTCCTTGTTCTAAATATGAATATAAATTTGGAATTAAGGTACGGGACACGAGTAACTGCTCCTGGTCCCTATCACGTGGTCTATTACATCACGCGCCTTAGAATATATGCTCGTACTTATTTTCGATACAGACTCGATCCTAAGAACTCTCTCAAATACATGATAAAATAAAAAAAAATGAATCAACTTTCAGAATAGTTAGTGCAGGTTATATCATGTAACGCATATGAGCCATGCCTGGCGGGAGGAGCTTAACAACATGTGCAAAAATATCTTGAAATCATTACTTGCTCTCTTTCTTGTGTGTGTGCTTAGGTATGACTCCCTGCAAGAAAACTGCCCTTAATATACTATCACAAATATCCACACTTAGTAAACACACAAAAGCACAAGCAAATTGATTTCTGGCTAGGGCATCCAAACCTGCAAAAAATAATAGTCATACATAAAAAAAAGACTACCTAACACCTTAATCCTAGCCAAACACATCATCTAACAAAAGTTTTCTAACACAACATCTAAATGTGCACAAGGGTACTGGAGTAAAGCTCTTATATGACTTTGGTGGGGTCGCCAATTCCGACCCTATCCTAAGGATCTAAGGGATCTAGAATATGTCACTGAGGTGATGACATTTTGAAAGGCTGGTCTCACATATGACATAAATTACATACTTTTAAAATGAAGTGGATAACATTTAATATGTATAAGAAAAAATATTTTTTTTATGTTTTTAAAATAAAGGACCTCGCAAGTGGCATACTTTAGAGCCATTTAAATCTTAGCACAGTCATACTGTTTGCTGCTCTCAATACAAAAACTCGCATTGCTCGCTGAGACATCCTCTCGAGTAATGCTCGTTTAAATATTACGACCAACAAACGGGTCACTCATCTAACGAATTAACTTGCCATCTAAATGGATTAGGTGTCGGGCATGCAAAAAATGCAAATATGAGACCAACCAATTGGATTGAACGATACCGGACGGTTGGTCTCACCGACCTAAAGTGGGTGGTCAATCTGACTAATAACAATCGACCGATCAGGCGTCTAACGAGTGACAACCAATTAGACCAAGCGATATCGGGCGGCATGTCACACCGGCCTAGAGCGGGCGGCATGTCACACCGGCCTAGAGCGGGCGGCTGATCCGACTCATATCAGTTGACCGATCAAGACGTTTAACGAGAGAACCAATCAAACCGAGCAATATTGGGCGACCGGTCGCACATGCTTAAAGCAGACAACAGATCTAATCGATAGCGGTCGATTGATCAAGGTGTCCAACGAGAGACAACAAATCAGGCTGAACGATACCGTGCAACCGATCGCACTGGTCTAAAGCTAGCAACCGATCCGAACGTTATCGGCCGACCGATCAAGGCATCCAATGAGGCACAACCAATCGGACCGAGCTATATAGGGCCGTCGGTCGCACTAGCTTAAAGCGAGCGGTCGATTCGACCAATATCGGTCGATCTATCAAGGCGTCCAATGAGAGACAACCAATCCGACCGAACGATACCTAATGGTCGGTCTCACTGACCTAAAGCGAGCGGCCGATCTGACTGATATAGGTCGACCGATCAAGACATCTAATGCGGGACAACTGATAAGACTGAACGATACAAGGCGGCCTAAGGCGGGCGGCCAAATCAATAAACATACAAAATTAACCATTTTTATATGAACAATTTTAAAAAAAGTGATCATACGCAAGCATGCAAACGCACCCAATCGTATTTGACGGCAAGCTGAAACGTCCCTAGTGATCTCACATAGGAGCTAGGGTTGGTTATAAAGAGGTGTACAAACGCCTTATTGCATGAAGCAATAAAACGCTCGCCTCAATTTGTCCGACGTATAAAATAGAGGGTCTCTCGCGAGGACTCTCTACGATTGAGGAAACGAAGACCAAAGGAATGCCTTTGTCTGCTCAGCCGATCGACTTCAATTGTCGATCCTAATGAAGCATTAACACAACCTCAGCTTTGGGATTTAGGGCTAAGGTTATGGGGATATCGCTCGGATTCGTAAGGGTAGTTCGTGAAAATGGATCTCTAACCTATCGGCTTCCTCTAGCACAAAATCCTAGCCCTAGATTCTCTAACATCTAGACCTAGGGGGCTCTAGAAGTGAAAATATACGAGAGTTTTGGAGATCTTTCACCTTCGTGATTGTTGTAAACGCGTTTTCTCGATTTGCTTGAAACTCCGACCTCGCTCTGGTGAAGCTAGCACCGCTCCTTCTCCAAAGTACGAATAAGCTCTTTATTCCAGGAGAATGACCAAGGAAACACCACGAAAATTCCTTCACGCAGCTCTTCTTTCTCCAAGAAATGGGTTCACCGGTGAAGATAACAACAAGGAAGAAGAGGAAAATGAAGCAGATGGGGAAGAAGAAGACTGCTGGAAGAAAAATCTCCAAAAGCTTTCTAAACCTCTCCTCCCTTACTACTCTCTTGGTATCAAAAAAATGGAGACTAGCCCTTAAATGAGCTCCCCCCCTTTTCTTTGCTTTGTTGAGAGCAAAATCTCTTCCCACATGCACTCTCTCCCTGCCTAACCTCTCTGCTAAATCATATCAAAAGGAAAAGTATTTATAAATAAAAATAGTTCGTGGTGGAATAATAATATGCAAGAAAAGATAAAATATAAAAAATTTGTATTATAAAACTTTGTTTAATTGTAAAAGCTTAGAGAAGTGGGAAAAATATAAGGTGATCCGTAGGAAGTCTAAGAAAACAATTTGTGACGCTAAAAATTTTATTTTTAGTGATCTCTATAATATATTAGATACAAAATATGGTAAAAAATATATTTATAAACTAACCAAACAAAGAGAAAGGAAAAACAAAGATTTAATTCAAGTGCATTAAATATTTAATTTGTGATGCTAAAAGTGTTTTTTCTTAGAGGAAGATATTTAACATAGGTGGGTGAGTTATTTGATAAACATTTCAATGAGATTTTTGAAAATGCGATCGACTTTAATGATCTTATTATCGTTAATAATAATAATAATAATAAAACGTTTTATTTTTATCATCGCATCAATATAAAGAAGTTGAGAGGGTTTTAAAGAAACCAAGGGTGAAAAATTAGTAAAACCCGATGATATTCCAATTGAAATGTGGAAATATTTAGGAGATTTAGGAGTTTCCCGACTTATTAAACTCTTTAATATTATTTTAAAAACTAAAAAATGTCTAAAAAGTGTAGGAAGAGTATTTTGGTCCCCATTTTAAAAATGAAGAGGATGCGCAATAGTGTGCAAACTATAGAAGAATTAAATTGATGTGTCATATTTTGATGTTATGAGAGAGGGTAATTGAATATTGGTTAAGATGCGATACAAATATTTCATTTGGATTTATGTCAGACAGGTCCACTATAGTAGTTATATATTTATTGAGATGTTTGATGGAGAAGTAGAAAGAGTGGTAAGATCTACATTTTTTTTATTGACTTAGAAGCTTGCGGTCTCAAGAGAAGTCCTTTCAAGAGTTCTAGAAAAGAAAGGTGTTGATATGACTTATATTCAAGTCATTAAAGATTTGTGCACTAGAGTTGTTACTTGTGTTCAAACAGAAGGAGGATTGACAAAGTATTTTTCTGTATTTTTCTATTTATATCAGGGATCGACTTTAAGCCTATATCATTTTGCTTTAGTTATGGATGCTCTTACAGCAAATTTACAAGAGGATGTACCTTGGTGTATGCTTTTTGCTGCTGATATCCTTCTTGTGGGTAAGAATAAAAAGTTCTGGAAAAGTTTGAATTTGGAGGTCTACATAGGAGTCTAAAGGTCTTTGTTTGAGTAGATCTAAAACTGAATATATAGAATGTAATTTTAGTATTAGTAGTTCTAATGGCAGAGTTGTAATTATGGGGGATCAAATCATTAAAAGGTATGAACGTTTTAAACATCTCAGGTTTATTATTCAAAGTGATGGTGATATAGATGGAGATGTTATTAGTATAATTCAAGTTGGTTCGTTGAAGTGGAGGAATGCATCGGGCCTATTGTGTGATAGAAAAGCACCGCTTAGACTTAAAAGGAAAATTTTATAGGATGGTGGTGAGACATGCAATCCTCTATGACACAGAATGTTGGCCTTTAAAAGAGAAGCTTAAAACAAAGTTAAGTGTTGCCGAGAAGAGAATGCTTAGGTGGATGAGTGACTTGACACTTAAAGATAAAATGCAAAATTAATATATCAGTGATAGGGTTGGTGTAGTTCTAGTGACAGACAAGATTAGAGAGAGTCGTCTTAGATAGTTGCATATTAAACGTCGACCATTTGATGACCCGGTTAGGAGAGTAGATGTTTTAGACTTATATTAAGAAAGACAGAGCGAAAGGCAAAGGTAGGCCTAAAAGACTTGGGCATATTGTATAAAAAATGCTATTAGAATTAAATAAAAATATTACACTCAATAGGACACAATACAGAAGAAGCATTCATGTAGTCGACCCTACTTAGTGGGATTGTTGTTGTTGTATTTGTACTTCATACAAAACCAAAAGAATTTTATGCATGGGTGAAATTTGTGCTGTGCGTTTTTATCCAAGTGAATGACTGCTGTCATTGTAGTTAATGAAAATCATGCTTTAAGATATGATGATTTTTTCTTCGCTGATTTTGAATGAGATAGATAAAATACTTATTTTTGAAGGAGTTTTGAGAAGATTTGTGAAGTTAAAAATCAATATTGATGTCTGCATGCAACCAGTCAAGTGATGAATATAACAAACTTCTTCATTTTTCTAAATACATTTTCTAATTTCAAAGTAACTAAATGAGTCCTAACACCATTGTATTTTTCATAATGCCCTACTTGAAAGAAATTTTCAGTATCCCTGATCAAAATCATTATGCAAATTTATGTTCCTTGTACTAATTCATTCCTCCAGCCTGCTCACCCATCAAGTGTAAATAGGTTGTCCTTATCATAAAGAGAGTCCTTATTTTAGTTACTAGGGTTTATTTTTCATTTTTTTCCTCTTATCTTGTGTATTGCTTGTGTTGGCCTATTTCAGATTACTATAATCAAAGTAGCCTTTGATGTTCTCCTCTAATGAGGTATATACCTTATTTTTTCAATTATAAATGGTCAGGCTCCGTTGGAGGAAGCTTGGGAGGCACTCTTTACCAATGCAAGATATGCCAAAAATTTCTCAGCTGCTGTATGTTTCCGCCATGTCATTCTTTCACCTCTGGGGTATGAGAACGCCATGTTCAAAGGGCTTTCTGAATCATTTAGCTGTCAAGGAACGCCTGTGAACAATCTCAGAGAGAACCCTGATAACCAAAAAACTTCTCGGTTGTCAGAATTTGGAGAAATGTTGAGAGCAGCTTTCGAACTTCCAACCGATGAAAACTCAATTACAAAGCCTTCCACAGCTCATAATATCCTTTTTGTTCGCCGCGAAGATTACTTGGCTCACCCTCGTCATACCGGAAAAGTGGAATCTCGGTTGACCAATGAACCAGAGGTTTTTGATTCAATACAGAATTGGGCAGCAAACCAAACGAAATGCAGATTAAATGTCATCAATGGTCTCTTTGCTCATATGAAAATGAAAGATCAGCTCAGGGCCATTTATGAAGCTTCAGTTGTTATAGGGGCTCATGGGGCTGGTCTTACGCACTTGATTTCTGCTAGATCGAAAACAATTGTTCTTGAAATCATCAGTAGTCTATATAAACGTCCACATTTTTCGTTGATCTCACATTGGAAAGATCTTGAATATCATGCTATTTATCTTGATGGATCGTATGCTAGACCAAAAGTAGTCATTGATGAGCTCGGCGGCATTGTGAGAAGCCTTGGGTGTTAAGAATTGGAATGCCCGATGTTTTACCTGACTAAGCAGTAAACCCTGGTCAAGTTATGGTATTTACATATCTCACACCCAAATTTTGTGTCTACACACATAGTACTCAAATTTTTAACATCACATTAAAAATAGCAGTGTTACTCCTTTCTAATAGTGAGGTAAATCTTTTCATGCATAAGTCTAAAGCAACAAAGTGCTATGTATGCAAAAATAAAATTTTAGGTGTGGGATATGTAAATCTGTAAGAATTATATGCTTGGTATGTAAATGTCCATTTTTTTTATGCCATTGCATGGTTCCAATGGGTGGATGCAGGCTAATTTTTTGCTGCATCTTCTTAACATTTCATCTTGAACTCATGAAATTACAAACACATTATTTATGATACAACATGTAAAGAGGAGAAAATCCTAGGCATAAGGAGTGTATTCAGGAGTTTTGTTGAAGGGAATTCCACAAAATTTTCTCTAGTCTTTGAAGAGTGAGTTCATGTCTTCTGCTGGTTTCTGTAATATCAAGGCAATAATGAATGTCAATTTCTATTTTGAGTTGGCTAATTCCCATAAAATATGAGATGAGCTCCTCATGATGTATTCTAACTTCCTCTATTGGGATGTTTTTTTCACTTATTTCTTCTTTTTTCGATTCTATTAATTGTGCTATTGAATTGATGCATTATTTTATTTCGAGGGCTATCTGTTGGAAACTGTTAGACCTAACAAATCCGTTGGTGATTTATATTTTCTAGCATCTTTTGCAACTGACTGACATTGTTGTTGTGTCCTATCTGGCTAAACACTTGTAAGAGTAAGATAGCTAGGTGGCTGTCTTGCAGAAAACAGTGAAGTAAGAAATAATGAGAAAATAAGGAGTGGGTTATTTTCTTAAAAACTCAGATTTCATTGCACAAACTCAGAATATAACATGAATGTGTTGAGCTGTTTAGAAAGTTCTAGCATGGAATTTTGTAACTTTTTATTTCTTAGAAAGTCCTAAACGCATTGTACTCAATTCTTATGTATTTACACATCTTAAACCTAAACTTTTGTCTCTACACTTATTGTACTCAAATTTTTAACATCGCATAAAAAATAGCTCTACTCCCACTTCTTAAATAGTGAAGTACGTCTTGTCATGCATAGGTTTAAAGCAACAAATTGCTTTGAATACAAATATAAAAAATTAGGTGTGGGATAGTTAAATACATAAGAATTATATGCTTGGTATGTAAATTTGCTTTTTTTTTAATGCCATTGAATGGCGCCAATGAGTGGATGCAGACTAATTTTTGCTGCATCTTCTTAACATTTCATCTTGGGCTCAAGAGATTACAAACACATTATTATGGTACAAGCGTTTAAAGAGGTGAAAATTGAAGGCATAAGGGAATTTCCATGAAATTTTCTATAGAAGGGAATTCCCATGAAATTTTCTCTAGTTTTTGAAGAGTGAGTTCATTTGTCTTTTGCTGCTTTCTGTATTCTCAAGGCAATAATGAATGTCAATTTATGTTTTGTATTGGCTAATTCCCATCAAATGTGAGATGTGCTCCTTATGATGTATTATTGTTTCCAAGTGTTCAAACTTGTTCTATTTGGATGTTTTTTTCATTCATTTGTTCTTTTTTCTGTTCTATTTATTATGCTATTGAATTGATACAATATTTTATTTCGAGGTCTATCTGCTGGAAACTGTTAGACCTAACAAACCATTTGGTGATTTATATTTTCTAGCATCCTTTGCAACTGTTTGACATTATTTTTGTGTCATACCTGGCTTGACACTTGTAAGAATAAGGGTCCGTTTGGGGCAGCTTTTTCACTGCGGTGGCGTTTTGAAAACGCCGAAGTTATGTTTGTTTTGGGCGTCGTAAGTGCTTGTCGCAAAACATGATTTTTTTTTTAATGAACGCGGTTGCGGGCAAGCCCTTGTGGCCCACATTTTTTTTTGCGTTTTACCTGATTACCCTTTAGCTCTGCTTCGCGAGAGAGCCGTCGATCTCTCATTTTCCCTCGATGAGGTCGCGAGTAGAAGAGGCTTGCGAATGGTACTCGTCTCCAACAACGATAAAGAAGAAGGGATCGCGGCAGAGGCTCTAGGACGGTACGACAACTTCACTCCGTATTGTGACAAAATTCACACACATACACTCTCACTCTAAAAGCTATCATCTACATCTTATTCCATATGAGCGACGGGGAGGAAGATCGAAGCTGCAGCTTCGTTCTAGTGACGAGGAAGGTCGACTATGGCCTTGCCACCTCTTGCCCTTCTTGTCTTCCTGTCTATCTTTTTCTCCGATTCCCAAACACCACCTTTAATCTACTCTACGACATTTCCAACCCTGATTTCGGTCAGCAATCTCTCATCCTTAATTTTGATTCTTAGTTGTTATTTTTATTCCAAACAAATAATGCGGCCACGGTTAAAGGCTTCCAATCTCGTTCCTCTTTTCTTTTTTGGTTTGTTCTATTTTTGTTGGTTGCAATTATACTTGTTTTAGGGTTTTCTATTTCACTATGTAATTGTTAATCAATTTCTTTGCTACGTCTGCTTCCAGGTAATCAGACTCTATCATCCAATTGAATGCTTTTATTTCTAATTTTCATAAACTTTGTTGAATACAAATTTATGCTTGAACCAAATTGATCGATCTAATTTAGCTTTAAATAGTTTCAAGTTTTAGCTCGAATGAAAATTTTATTTTAATTTAGTGTTAAGCTTATATGAGATGGTTACTAATTTGATTTGGAAAATTGTGCTATCAGGGAATGGCGAAGTATTAGGCGTTCAAAATTAATAAATTTTAAATCAGTATTGTGCTATTTATTTTCTGTACTGTTTTGAGCTCGTTTTTTGTTTCAACAACAAATATATTGCTTAGACAGTTCTATTGCAAATAACTTTATTGTATAGGGGCATAATAGTCATTTATCCAAAAACAACTGCAAATCAGCTGTTTTCCAAACGCACAAACCAAACAGGCAGTCAGCTTATCTGGATAAGTTGCTGATCAACAGCTTATCTGGATAAGCTACTGATCAACAAATTATCTGGATAAGCTACAACTGCCCCAAACAGACCCTAAGATAGCTAGGTAGTGGTCTTGCAGATAACAATTGTGGAGGAAATAATTTAGAAAACAGGGAGTCGAGTATTGTCTTAAAACTCAGATTTTATTGCACAAACTCAGAATATAACATGTGTTTTGTGCTGTTTAGGAAGTACTAGCATGGACTTTTAAAGGACTTTTAATTTCTTAAAATTTAATTATTTCTACTACTTGCAATGAGGGCCTGTTTGTTTCGGCTTTTCGAACCACGGTCGGTTCAAAACCGCGTTTGTAAACTGTGTTTTTCGCCGGTTCAAGCCTTTGGGTTCGCGAGCGCCATTCTGTGCATAATAACAATGCGAACGCACAGACGGGTGTGCGGTTCGCAACATTCGTTAATACTATTCCTCCTGTGTGCTCAGTTTTCAGCCCAACGTCGTGAGGCTCTTGAGACAACCCGATCCCGTCGATTCCTTCCCGAAGCGTCATCATTGCCAACTGATTCCAGCTACCCTTGAGGTGAGGATTTACATCTTTTATATCTCTTCCCTCTGACACTCGAATCTCTTCTCGAAGGCTATTGTCACTCATTGTGATCCCTGCTTCTTTGAATTTGATGTATTATCCTTTCACCATACTTCTGTTCTTCTTCTTTTTTAATTCTATGATGCATGTGGGACAATAATCAGCTGGTGAAGATAATCTTTAGGAAGATTTGTATTTTCTGATTTTAGATGTTGGAAAAATGAGGCTTTAAATTATTTATTTAGCAGAAATCTAAGGGGCTGTTTGGTAGCAGGATTTTCATCCTACACTTCCATCCATTTCTGAAGCACCTATAGCTGTGATTTACATGTCTAACACCTAAACATTCATATTTACATTCATACAGCTCAAATTTGAGTCACGCGAAGGTGCTGTAACTATAAATATCAAACCAAGGGTGTCATATATGTAAATACATAAGAATTGTGTGTTATGTGTGCAAATTTCTGTTTTTTTTAAATAATAAGATAATGCACAATAGGTTGGGGCATTTACGGATGACGTTTTGGGAGTTATTTGATAATTTTTGCAGCAAATTTTTTTAGTTGGATGTTGGCAGCTGCTTCATCTTAAGTTTCTTATAATTAGGAAATTTGTATATGAAAGAGTCACTGTTTTATAAACTCTTTAGACTTTACTTAATTCTTCAGTACAAAGTTGCTACATTTTACCGAGAAATGCACCATGTACCAAAAGCCCAATCGATGAAGGCTAACATTGCTGGAGTCATGTGTGCATAAATTATACATCAGAGTTGGAATACATATTAGCTTAGGTAGTTTACGTCTATTGCTAACTTATGGGATGATCATGTACTGGTTCTTCACTATCTCCATAGATATTGTTATTCAACTCTATGGAAGTTGATGTTATTCAACTCTATTGAAAATATTGAAGTTGTAAAGGTATGCTTATGTCTTGGTAATGGAAGTTATTTCGTGTTAAACCTTCTCATGTCTTCTTCTTCTTCTTATGGGAACTTCTTTCATATGGGCTGCTAACTTATCTTAAGTTATTAAATATGCTTTAGTTTGGTTTTTATTTCCATTTATCTACCTTGATAGTTGTATGTTGGTTATTGTCGGCGCTTAAAAAAAGGGGGGAAGAGTTTGAATGTTTGGGGGTCGCCCGTAAGAAGCTGTCGGTCGCCGGAATCGAAATCCCGTCGCCCGCTTCGGAAGGACTTTTTAATTTACGTATATATATATAATTTTAGAAAAATATGAAATCAAACTGACCTCATATTTTTCACAGTTTAAATGAAAGAGCACTTTACCTCAAATCTTATATCTACCCCGAGGGATAAACACAAGA